ACTGGATCTCTTCCAATTTGCTCTCTCTTCCCCAGACCCTCCTGAACCTCTCGCTACCCGGCCAGACCGGCCCTGGAAAAACCCAGCTGCTTGGGCTTGGCCTCCTCATTCCTGGGCTGCACTTGCTTTTGGACAGCGTGCATTCCCTTCCCGCGCGTGGCCGAGTCCCAATCTCAGGGTTGTTGGATCTGTTCAAGGACCACACCTCGGCCCTCGGATTCAGGCCTCCTGGCCCTTCACACTTTGCCTGGGCAGGAGGAAGGGCAAGTTCCAGGAGAGTAGGGAGCAGACAAAGGTGGAAGGAGGGCCAGGAGGTGCCAGGGCTCCTGACCCAGAATGTTGTGGGAGGAGAGAGCGAAGGCTAAGAGGTTAGCGTGGGCAAGAGGTGAGTCTGGGGCCAGCATCCCGATTTTGGAGGGTAGAAGATTGCTAGAACCCCGTGTTTAGGTGCTGTAAAGGATTGTGTTTGGACAGGAAGCCCAACTGAATTAATGGGTACATAGGGTCTGAAGTCTTCACAGGGGTCTAAAGAAAGGGTCCTTAAAGGCATTCAGAGACTTCACTTTTGTAAAGGCTGGTTCACCCTGGACAGAATCAGGACTAAGTTCCTGGTTGGGATTAGCGAGGGCAGCCTGAGTTTAAAAGTCCAATTTACTTTCAGTAGGAAAATAAGAAGGGGAATGTTAAAGAAAATCCATCACACCTCATCTGTGTGGTTAGATAACTCAATTATTTGTCTGCTGTGGGACAGACATGAGCAGGCTGGAACCTAGATTTTATTTAATACAATGCCACCTGCCCTTGTGGTGGGACTTGCTTTAGCTGCTAATGTGGAAAAGCCTTCATTGTTCCCCTCTTGCTTGATTTGGGCCTAGAGAAAACATTTACCCCCTTTAAACTTTTTCTCCAAATTGTTGTGGTTGCTTAATTAGGCTTAAGCCTAATTTCTGTTACCAGATATTTTAGGTACCCCAAGTATAAGCACTAGCATTACAAAATTCTGTTTTGAATCATTGCAATCATTTGCAAAAGAGGAATTGACGTCTAGACATCTACTCATTCCTGGAAGTGAGCTGATGATTCAATTTGATGTAAGAGTGATTTGTTGCCATTCTTTGCTACCACCTCTCCCAGCCACCAAACTCAATGATAGAATGGGCTTGCCCAAATTCTGTTCTTAGCAACCTTCAACGCACCTTGGGAATCATGGGAACTCAATAGTTGAGTTGAATTCCCCAACAATTGATGCTTTGTATGTATTTCTGTCTGCTCCAGGCACATTTTTTTTTTCTGTTGAATTCAGTACCACACTGTGATACCTGGGATGAGGAGTGTGGTGATACATTGTTTATGATTTATTAAAGCTTGCCTGAGTATTCAGAAAGCAAAGTCATCCACAAGCCATAGAAGCCAGGCACACACCTTTATTCCCAGCAGCCAGAAGATAGGACATGGTGGTACATACCTTTAATCCTAGGACTCAGGATAGACAGATCTCTGTGAGTTCAAGGCCACCCAGATCTACACAAGAGTGAACCAATCTAAAAGCGAATAATAGCTCACACCATTAATCCTAACATTAGGGAAATATGTAAGACAGAAGCAAGGTCTCAGGCATTTGTTCTTCAGCCACACTGAGGAGAGGCAGCTGTTTGAGATTTGGTGAAGAGCTCATGTGTGGATCAGCCCTTTTAGCCTGATCTAGAGGTGGAGGTTGGCTGCCTTGCTTCCCAGATCTTCAGCTTGAACGCCAATAATCAGTCTCTGGGTAATTTATTTATTCGTGTTGCCGAGGAGTGAGGGGAAACTGAGCAGGCAGTATAGTCACCCTACAGCTTTTTACAGCCAGCACTTGCTGGGGTATAAGAAGCACTGGATTCTTTACCATTCTTTATCTTCAACCTTACATCCAGCCCCATGCTTGTCACTGCAGAGTTAAGTATATTGTCAGATGAAAACACTGGGCAACCCTGTAAGTCCATTTTAAACACACAAGTTCAGAGCAAGATGTTGTGTGATGGCCACCTCATTATTTTATATACACTGTGTTAGCTGGTGATTAGCAGAGCAGTTGAGCAGATATTCCTATAAATCTAAGAATAAGAAAGACTAAATGCTGCAAGGATAGCTCACTGAGAGGCAAAGACCCTATTTTTAAAGACCGAATGTTTCATGCACTTCCATGTCTGACTTAGAAGGTGATTTATTCTTCCCTTTGCAGGAATTAATACTGAAATTAATATTAATCAATGGCAGAGGAGACTAGAGCAGAGGATGGTCCTGTGATGGATGGTCCCAAGTTTCTCTGTGCTGTGAAGTGTCTTGCTTTCTGGATGACTGTTTCCACTCCTTGCATAGGTTTGCCTTGTCTGGAGGACTCTGATGATGGGTTTGTTCAGACAGCCCTTATTCTGTATTTGAGACCCCAAGAAATTTAGCAATTTGTTCTGCTTTCATAACTAGTTAGTAACAGAGCTGTCCAAAAATCTTGGATTATTTCCAAATCCAGTGTTTGCAGTATTATATCACACTGGGGAACTCACATGCTGATCACTGTGAGCACTTAATAAATACTGGATTTCTAAGAGCTGCCTATTTGCTTCTGATTGCTGACTGTTCGCTTTCAATTCATGTTTATTTTAACTGAAAGTCACTGCCTTTTGATGGCTCCTCCTTAGCCGCCTATGGGAAATGAGTTGGTGGGTGCGTTTGAGCCCTGTTGGACAGCAGAACTCATTGCAACAAATCAATGTCAAAAGTGGCACGTCAGGGGAAACACATACCATTTATTAAGTACCCCCAGGGGAGTAGCTCAAAGTGATTTGATAATGTCTCATTAATCCTCATGACACCCCTGTGGGATAATAATAATATTATTATAATGTTTAAATGTAGAACTGTGGCAAAGCAAACAGCTTCTCGGAGCCTGTTTAGGATTTGCCTGGTCTTGCAGTCTTCAACATTCAGATCTAAGTAAAGCCATCAGGTTTGCAGTAGCAAGTGAATCTTGGCATTTGGCCTTTCTATTTTGTTCTATGCATAACCTTGGCTTCCAACTGACCACAGCGGGACTAGAAATAAGTCCTCATTTGCTCACCAGATGGGAAGCAACATCTGGAGTAGCTCTGAAATATTTGAGACTGCAAAAGGATTAGTAAATATTCTAATCCACATTCATAGATAAGAGAATGGAGAAAGAGCACTCACCCAGATACTAGGTATTGTGCCTTACAAACTTTAAATATAGACCTTGCCCTTATTGACAACAGCTTACCTAGAATTCAGAATCTGTGGCAAAATTTCAATGCTTTTAGTTAACATGCAAAAAAAAAAAAAAAAAAAAAACTAGCGTAGAATCTGTGGCCATTCATCCTATTGAAGCTAGGTAGGGTCATCATATCAACCCACCAAGCTAGTTTCTATCTCAGAGTCTTCATGCTTGCTCTTCCCTATGCATCAAATGCTCTTTCTCTAGATTTTTCACATGGCTTGCTCCATCATGTTAGATCTTCATGCAAAAAGTTGAAAAATGCCTTCTCTTCCCACCATTTTTTTAAAAAATAAATTTTTATTTAAATTAAAAACAATCTTATTTTACATACCAATCTCAGTTCCCTCTCCCTCCCAACCTCCCATTCCCCCCACTAACCCTCATCCCATCCTCCATCCACTCCCCAGGGAGGGTAATGTCTCCCACTGGGAATCATCAAAGTCTGTCACATCATTTGGGGCGGGGCCTAGGCCCTCCCCCTGTATCTAGGCTGAGAGAGTACCCTTCCATAGGGAATGGGCTCCCAAAATCCATTTGTACACTAGGGATAAATACTGGTTCCACTGCCAGAGGCCTCCCAGTGACACCCATGTTCAGGGGGCATGGTTTTGTCCTATGCTGGTTCCCCAGCTATCAGACGGGGGTCCATGAGCTCCCACTTGCGCAGGTCAGCTGTTTCTGTGGGTTTCCCCAGCATGGTCTTGACCCCTTTGCTTATCCCTCCTCCCTCTCTACAACTGAATTCTACGAGTTCAGTTCAGTGCTTAACTGGGAATCTCTGCTTCTGCTTCCATCAGCTGCTGGGTGAAGGCTCTAGGGTGACATTTAAGGTAGTCATCAATCTCATTATAGAAGAATTCATTACTTCTTGATTTTAGATAAATACCCTCTCTTCTCTTTTCCATCTGTAGTCTGTTATCTGCTTTTCCCCCTTTGCATTAATTTACTGAAATTATATTTTGCATTTGTATCTTTCAGATCTTGAACAGGGCTTGACACATAGTGAATGCTTAATGTCTAATAGAAGAAAGAAAAGATTAGGGAAGAGCATGCAATGTGTGCTGGCACAGCAGTGAGCCAGTTTTGTTGCTATAGAAGAATCATTTTGGAATGCTAACTGTCCAGTTCTGGAAATAGCTAGACTGTGAAGACATGAAAGACTTCTTTGTTTCTTTTCCTTTTTTAAAAAAATTTTACCCTTTCACCCCATTTTCTCTACTTTTCCATTTCCCCACCACCCTGAATGAGTCTATCCTGAACTCCAGAAATGTACTTCCAACTCCCACTTGACTTTCT